TAAATAAATAAAATAAAATAAAATAATCACCAAAAAAAATAAAATAAAATAAAATAAAAATAAAGAAAGTGTGTGGCAAAAGAAACTAATAAAGCCTAATCACTGTAAAATCCAAGCAGAGAGCGAGTCCTGGGGAACTGTATGAAGTCTCCCAGAATCAGGGCTGCCTGGAACGCAGGGAAAGGTGGTGTTGGCGGATGATGGCTAAGAGAAGCAGGGTTTCCGTTCTGGGGTCAGGAAAATGTCTGAAAACTCACACCAGCGACAACTATGCGAATATACTAAGAACTGTACACTTTAAAAATGAATTCCATCTGAATAAAGCAGTTAAAAGAAAATAATGTATGGTTTTTGTCTCAATATCTCCTGAATCTCCTCATTTTCTCCTTTCCCACTGCTTCTTGTTTATGAAAAGTCACCATGGGCTCCTATTGCAACAGGTGGTCTCCTGGCATCACCAGTTTTACTCTCCTCTGACCCAAGCTCAGAATGTCCTTTCCCCTGCCAGCCCTGGGCCACGCTGTTCTCTCAGCCTAGACTACTGCCCGCCCACCCCCATGTGCCCTCCCAGTCCGAACTCACTTTTGGGGCCTCGGCTTAAATACCACTTCTGCCAAGGGTCCTTCCCTCTTCTACTGGGTTTAGGTATGTCACCTACCTTGGCACTTCACCTGTCATACTGCTCATCCTATTTGATGATATCCTGTCTGTCTTCTCCACTTTATATATCCAATGAACAAGGAAAATGTCTGTTTAATTCTAACCCCTAGTACAGTATCTGACACCTAACACACACTCAATAACTACTGGCTACGTGAATAAATGAATGATTGAACAAGTCCTTATCTTAAAGACCTTAGTTTCTCCATAAGATAAAAACATTGCACTAAATGGTAACTTTTCTTCCTTTATGATCTATATTAACAGGATGACCTCAAAATTTATACTATTCAATGGCCCTATTATTTCTTAGTAGAAACAACTAATGAAGATATGATTAAATTGAAGTCCATTTTTATCAGTTCCTCCTATTTGAAATAAATGAGGTTAATTAGATAAGAAAATTATCTCCAATACAAATTAGGAGCTGGAAATTAGCAAAAAAATAATAATAATAATAACTCTATCTGTACCTTTTTTTTAATAAACATATATAAATATGCTTGAAAATTAGCCCAGACAGTTAGGGGCTACATTTAAGGACTCAGATGTTATGAGATAAAAGAACTGCCCCACAGCCTGCCTCTGGCGCCATGTGATACAGGAGAGAAGGACTGCAGGAAGAAGGCTTCAGAGCCAAGCCTAAGGCAAAATTAAGTTCTGTGTGTGTGTGTGTGTCTCAGGGTCCTGGTTTCCTCTGCTTCTCCCTCCATCACTCAACTCTGGCTCTACATCTATAGGTTAAGCACTACACAACATATGCTGCACATTTCAAAAACAACTCCCTCTCAAACACATTTCTGTGGCAACAACAGCTATTAACATGGCCTTCAGGTCTTGGCAAAGAAAAGCCTAAGAAGAAACCGGTGATCTGCTGAGGTGGCTTATGTTACAATTTGGTAGGCTTGCAGATGCATCCAGCCTCATGTCACAGATCTATTTCCTACCGACCTGGAACCTGACACCTCATGAACATATTACCACAGCTAAAAAGAGTGATGCTGCTAATGTTAAATTAGTGTTTCAACTTCTTGTTAAATGTAAAAATCTCACACCCTTACTTAGCAGTATTTTAAATCTTCAAATACCACAGCTAAAAGCAAATCACCCAATGGCAACTTCAGAATACAATTCTTTCCTAAATCCCATCCCTGCTGAGATTCTGATGTAATCCTCTCCTCCATTTTGCTCTTTCCAATTGTTTCAGTTCTTGAAACACAGTAATAACTGCATAAGTATTTATTAAATGAAAAAACAAATGTCCCTCTAAAAGCTGTAGGTTAGTGAATAAAGGAAAGGCTTCTCTATTTAGATAATGGCCACTTATAAAACTGCATCTTTGTAATTCATAGTGCATTTGTATTCTGTGTTCAGTTATGTATGAATTTTAAGTTTTTAAATAATTAAAATAAAATACAACATTAAAATAAAGAAGAATGCAAATTACTTTTCAGATGATTTACAGGATGCTTAGAAGATTTAGCAGTGTCCAAAGAGCATCACTTGGAAAATCAGCCAACAATACTAAAGAACAGCAAGGGGTTTTGAGAGGGGTCTAACTAAACAGTAACATTGTTCGTCTGAGGATGACTTACTGCACAGATGTACTCTCTACTTAAAGCAATACACCACAGAATTTAAATTAAAAATATTCCATATACTTTGACCTATACCCCCAAAATTAAATTTACATTTTTATTTTTTAGTATATATTTAATTAATGTATTTTTTCAGAGAGGAAGGGAGAGGGAGAGAGAGATAAAAACATCAATGATAAGAGATTCGTTGACTGGCTGCCTCCTGCATGCCCCATACTGGAGATCGAACCCATAACCCCGGGCATGTGCCCTGACCAAAAATCAAACCATGACCTCTTGGTTCATAGGTCAATACTCAAACACTGAGCCATGCCAGCTGGGTTGAGTTGTATGTTTTAGATCATGGGTGGGGAAAGTCTGGCCTGTGGGCCATTGTATAAAGCCTATGAAATCATTTGGTCTGGCCCTGCCAAAGCAACTACAGGCAGAACTTTGAAATTCAATAAATCCAGGAACTTTTTTCATAGCAACATAAATTTATATTACGTGAATTACATTAAGCGAATGATGTTATAAATATCCAAATGACCTTTGGCAGAAAAAAGGTTTCCCGGCCCTGTTTTACTTAACTGATATTAGATACAAGACCACAATAAAGTTAACATTCTATGTTGTTGCTAGCAAAGCTATGACAGTAGTAAATAAGATTTTAATAGTCATAACAATTTATTGTTAGAAGATAGAAAAGATACCCTTCCCTAAATTTCCCACTAAGAACAACTAAAAGCCCTGGACATTGTAATACAAAACAAATATAGACTTTAAAAGTTGGAAAGAAGGCAGCAAATTGGCTAGGAACCTCGGGACCCAGGGAACAAGACATTGACAAATTCCCTGGGTTTTCTTTTTGCCTCGTGTCTTCCAGAACTGAAGATGAAAAAATCCCCCAAAAAGGAACCAAAGGCACAGCCCAGAAAAGTCCCAACAGAAACCTGCCCTCCCCAGTCAATGGATCATAGAGAAAGCCTGAGAAGACTGAAAACTTTCAAACAGTAGCTACTCTTCTCCAGACAACAGCCAAAGAAAAACTGTAGTCCTTCCTCACCAAGGCCAACAAAAGCCAAACAGGGAGCCTGGCCTTCCAACCGTACCAATCTGTCACAGAGGCCGAGCAGGGAAGCAAGGCTTTCATCTCTCCTTGGAAGTATAAAGCCCCACCCTCACCACGCACACACACTCAGGTGTTGTCATCTGGATATCCACCATCATCCAGCAATAACGAGGTGACCTTGCCGAGGTGGCAATACTCCATGCAGGCGTAACTCATCATTGCTGGGAGGGTAAACACTGCCCATGCGACTTCACCGGGAGAGACCAAACTGAATGTGCAGGCCTGTTGTCTCCTGGACCCTGCCCCTCTATTTTATTGCTGACCGAATTCGGTATCCTTTTGCTGTAACAAACCATGACCATAGGTCAAAGCTCTAAGACTAAACGTGGCCTTGGGAACACTTGAACTCTCAAACTTCATCAAATTAAATCTTTTGCAAAAGACTTAGAGAATGAAAGACACGCTACAGAGAGGGAGAAAATATCTGCAAACCAACCAAGGATTAGTATCTAAAATATAGGTTGTCCTAAGAAAACATACATTTTGGGGACACCCTGTATATAAATAATTATAAAGGCGGTGTTAAAATACATTTCATTTTCAAGATTGAGCTATCAGCTGTTAAAGCATGTATACATTTTGGGGACACCCTGTATAGAAGAAACTCTTAAAATTCAACACTAAAAAAGGAAATAATCCACTTAGTACATGAGCAAGACATGAAGAGACATTTCACCAAAGAAAATACACAGAAGGCAAATAACCATGTGAAAAATGTTCAAAACTGTTAATATTTAGAGAGCTGAAAATTAAAACCAGTAAAATATCACTTAATTCCTATCAGATGGGCTAAAATTTGAAAACTACCAAATGCTAGCAAGGATAAAGAGTATATTGGGTTATTCATTCTAATCCATTTCCATTATCGATATAAATGGAAAAGTCATTCTGGAAAACAGAGTGACAGTTTCTTTATAAAGTAAACATGCAACTGCCACATGACCAGCCATTGCATAGACATTGACCACAGAGAAATAAAGACGTAAGTTCACACGAAAACCTATATATGAATGCTGGTAGCAGCTTTATCCCTATTAGCAAAAAATTAGAAACAATCCAGATGTCACTCAGCAGGTGAAAGATTAAGAAAAATGTGGTCTATTCAATACCACCATTGCTATATACATACTACTCAACTATAAAAGGAAGAAATTATTAATATACACAATTACCTGGATGAATCTCCAGTGGGGAGAGGGGGAATTCCAAGGGGCTACATATCGAATGATTGTGTTTATCCAGCATTCTTTAAATGACAAAATTATAGAAATGGAGGTTCCTGGTCTCCAGGAGTTGAGGAGGGGAAGTGGGTATGAGCCATATTAGGTAATCTCTGGTGATAGAAACATTTGTATTTTGACTGTAACAAATCAATTTCCTGGTTGTGATGTTATACTGTAGTTTTGTAAGATATAACCATGGGGGAGAGAGGTGCACAGAATCTCTGTATTATTTCTTAAAGTTGCATGTGAATCTATAATTTATTCAAAATAGCAACACAAAACATCATTAAATATTCAAACACTATTTCTAAATTTCTTGGTCTAAAACAATAAAACATATTCCTTGAATGCTCTCAACTCAACTATCCTCCAAATAGTTATATCAAAACACGAAGAATTTTAACTCACCTTCCACGCTGTCAGAACAGGAGGTTCCGATGCCAGTGTCACCACTGTCAGAAGCTATACTATGTCTCCTGATGTGATTATTTCGATGGCTGGATGGAACAGTTGTGGCCTGCCACAACGATTCACTACCAGGTAGCCATGCTGATGAAGAATAATCTGGGCCTACAAAGAAAAATGTGCAAAAATTAACACACTTATAATCTCTGTGGGTAGAGAGAAGATATCTTTTCAGCCTTGTAAAAACAATGCACATCAGGTTATATTCTGCCCAAAATAGTTAAAATAGGACAATGGTAGGTAAGATTCAACATGAATTCAATGCTGACCTAGCAGCTTCCTCTGGCTGAAGGACTCTGATATCTGCATATAGATATCTGAACTTTCAAACACATACTATTCTCTTACTTAAGATGTCAAACACATCATCTATCTATCTGGAAATACTCTGCTCTAGAATATCTGATAGGTAGGCATCTGTGATTCCACACACAGGCATTAGCTGAGAACTGGGGCTCAGATAAAGTCTAACTGAATCATATGGCATGGCAATATAAGTAAATTATGCTCATGAAAGATAAAAAAAAAATCTATTTTTTCTACAATATCCTAATCACTTAAAATTGAAAATTATTTTGCATTATTTAATTGATTTTATTTCTTCAGTTATCTTTTGATAAATGTTTAACACCACATTTCCCTTTGGAGTTAGATTAATTTGTTTATGAGGGTATTACAATGATCTTATTTTTGTCAAACTTTTCCTTTAATGAAAGCAAAGCAATTCACTCAGGTTTCCCAAAATGACAAAAACATAATAAAATAATATAATAATCTCTATGTTGATCTCCAACCTGAACTCAGATTTGTCTTAACATTTAAATATGCTTCTTTTTTAAAAAAGAATCAATATATTTTATGTAACTAGAGCACTGATTATAATTAACAAATACCATGAATAACATTCTAATCTTTATTTTAGATTGATTGCATCAGAGAATAATATGTCTTATCTCTATTCAAGCCAATCCAGAATCACAAAGCAGTAAGAACTAGCTGTGAAATATACTCACCAGGTGATACCCTGTTTCCCCGAAAATAAGACAGTGTCTTATATTAATTTTTTCTCCCAAAGTTGCGCTAGGTCTTATTTTCAGGGGATGTCTTATTTTCGGGGAAACACGGTAGTATAAGGATACTTTTTTCACATAATAGTTATAATTATGCTACTAAAAGAGGAACTACTTAATTTCTAGATATGTGCTATGCACTTAACAAAAACTTAAGGTTCAGTGTCCTTTCATATTAAAGCAACTGAGTAATTGTGTAAAATCAGTTCTCTCTAGAACAAAGACAGAGCATTTCTATACTAATAGCCAAGATCCCAGGACAGCATACATTTGAAATTCTCTTTAAAATGCAGTATGTTACATTTTTAAATATAAATTTCAATTATTTTACACAGACTACTGACTGTCCAGTAGTAATAAAATTCACACTAAAAATATAGGAAGATTACATTTTTTTAAAAAAGAAGTAGCCTATTATATTTTGTTTCTGAAGATTTTATTTAACTGGAAGCAAAAATGCACACAATACCAAGTCTTCTACAATATGTTAATATGCCTGTAACTACATTTAGAAAAACAACTAATCTTATTTTTTAATCACAACTCTGAGCCAAAAGAAAATTTAAAAAAGACACTGACAAAGCAGATTTACACTTTTGCATAAAAAGCTGAATATATATTACAAATCATAGATACAAATTGCAATGTTTCTTTCAAAGTGAAGGTTATCATCCAACCTTTTTAAATAAAAAAGAATAGAACAGGAAATATCAAAGCACATTAACCCTTATATGGCATCATAAGATGCACATATCTCACACATTATAAGATGCACATATCTCTGAAATGTCAACAAGTACACAGTACTTTACACAAAGTTCAGAGCACTGGCCTTCATTGCCCTATTCTACCATCAATAGAAATTAATGTACAACTAACTTAAAAAGAATAAATGCAGGGAATACAGCAAAACCTCCTTTCCTTAGCCCATACGTCTAATCCATTTCAGTCTATTTCAGAAAGGCCAATTGAATGAGAGCCCTCCTCTCCATCCCACTGTCACAGGTCATACCTTTTGGCTTGACTACTGCAAAGATGTCCTGCTAGAGTAACTCTATCAGAGCCAGCCTCCACGCTACTGTCAGAATTATCTTCTTAAAGCCAACATATTTATGTCATTCTCCTGCTTGCATAGATCTGTTGGTTCTTTACTGCATACTGAATAAAACTCAAACTCATTAAGTTTGGCAAACTTCTTCATCAACTAGAAGCTTCATTTTCTAAAACTTCCCAAACCCTTCCTCCCCAATCTCAGCTCCCTAACAAATACTCTCCAGCCACACATACCTAAAGCATTGCCTCCAAACAGATTAGGTTCTTTGGAGACTCCAAGCTATTTCCCTACTGTACCTTCGTTAAAAGTCCCAGTGCAGAATTAGCTTGCTCTCAGTGTTCTCTGGTTCCTCAGGTGGTATTAAGTAACTACTACTTTGTGCTCTCCCAATGCATCATTCAAATTTCTATAACGGCATTTACTCATCTAAATTAACCCATATGTATATGACTTTCTTCACCATAACCACACTGGGAACACTGAAAAACAACTTTTCCCTCTTTTTTTAGTCTCTAGCACAGAGCTTCACAGTTAGGCAGAGCCTCAATAAATGCTGTCATTATTACCACTGAGTACTTAATAAATGTCAGTGGTATAAAATTAAAACTCTCAAAGACTTAGATCTAAAAAATATCCCATCTAGAAGAAGGGGGTTTTCTCTCTTTTTTTCTTTTTTGGTTGTTGTTGTTTATTTTTAAATACAGGAGATTCTAAACTATCCCTGGAGCTAGTGTACATTTAAGTATCTATTTAAAGATCAGTAAATATTTTCCAACGCAGCTAAAAATACACTAATAATTATAAATGGTTTGAGGAGTTTATAGTCAAAATTCCAAATAAACATGGGAAACAATCTCCAATAGGATCAAAGCACCAAAAAAAGCAATAAAATTTTTAAATTAACATTAAAACACGTTTTAAGATATTTATATTAATAATAACCACACAAAAAAAGGAAAAAAACAAACAGAAAATCCTGCTTACACAGGAGAATTACTAGCTAAGATGAAAGAAACTTTATTTTCTTTATTCTAGTTCAAGTAACTAAAAATAAAACTACCTTATAATCCAGCAATCCTCACTTCAGGGTATATATAACAAGATCTCAAAGAGATATCGCAACCCCCCATGTTATACTGCTTATTTACAACAGACAGGGAAGCAACGTGTCATCAACAGATGAATGGATAAAGAAAATGTGATGTTTATATACAAGGAATATTATTATTCAGCCATTAAAAGAAGAAAATCCTGCATCCATCCATTTTTGACAATATGGATGGATTGTGAGGGTATTATGCTACCTTAACTATGCCAGACAGAGACAAATACCATATGAGCACACTTAAATGTGAAATCTAAAAAAAGCCAACTCATGAAAACAGAGAACAGACTGGTGTTGCCGATGATAGGGGATGCGGGAATGGGCAAAAGTAGCCAAAAAGCACAAACTTACAGTGAAAAGATAAGTAAATTCCAGGGATTCATTTACAGCATGGTAACTATAGTTAACAATGCTATGGTGCATCCTGAAAGCTGGTAAGAGAGTAAACCCTAAAAGTTCTCATCCTAAAGGAAAGAAGTGTAACTATGTCTGATGGTGCATGGCAACTAAACTTATTGTTGTAATCACTCTGCAACATGTACATATATCAAATCATCATATTGTATGCCTTGAACTAATACAATATTATACATCAATTATATCTCAATCAAACTAGAATTGCCTTTCTTGCAGTTAATGATTTAAACTGAATTCTGAGTAATTGACAGCTAGTATTCTTTGCTTTCTAAATTAAAAAGAAATTTGGAAGTTCATTCATTAATTACTGTAACTTTAAAAACATTACCAAAGGATAAAAAGGTATAAAACTATATTCTTCAGAACTCATTCTGAATTTCCTATTTTCAATTCTAGTGTAACAAGGAAGAGCTTCAAACTAGGTTGGTTGAGGTTCAGGTTTAAATTACCTCAATTAGAACAATAGCCAGATGGATAATTGGTTCACCTTTCACAGTAAAAATATTAATTCAAACCAATAAATATTCACCCCCAAGTACTCATTATGTAAAGAGGAATTTGAGAGAGGTGGGGTATCAACCAACACAGATAAGACTATCTCCTTCTATGAAAAAATTACATGCCTGTTGGTTTCGGTGTGTGACGGCCAAAGGGCCCTATCTTCTGGTCACATGAAATGCTGCATTCAAGTTTTTTGGCAGATATGAGGAATGAGGGCAATGTATTTAATTTAGTCTCTCCTAGCCTTTGTTTCTATTTATAAACTGGAAAAAGAAGGTATGGTAAAAACTAGTAAGTTTTTAACCACTACAAGCATGAGGGAATATACCAAGTGGTATTCCAGAGGGGTTTACGCTTTTGTTTTGAAATATAATTTAATAATATCAACTAATAGAAAAGAATTCTACATGGTAGCAAATTAAGAAGGAAGTATTATCAGTACCCAGGGGGGAAAAAATAAACTTTCCTAAATAAAAAAGTTGTTAGACCTAATTCTGTACATGTTTTTATTTATGTAGCATCGGCTTCCAAAGGAGGCAAAGTACATTAATTATTTTTCAACTAGTTAGCCATTTATTTTCTGACACTTGGAAACTTAAGCGCTGTACACAATACATTTAAAGGCAAAAACTAAAACAAAAAGTCTGGTTATTAAATTTATTCGGGTGGCATTGGTTAGTAAAATTTGTTTTAAATGTATAGCTGTATAATACATCATCTGTACGTTTCCCTGTGTGCTCACCACCCGAAGTCAAATCTTCTTCCATCACCATGTATTTATCCCCTTTACCTTTTACTACCCCTCAACCTTGCCCTCTGGTAACCTCCATACTGTCAGTTGTTTGTCTTATTTATTCATTTGTTGCTTTCAGTTTTATATCCCACATATGAGTAAAATGATATAGTTCTTGACTTTCTGACTTATTTCACTGAACGTGATATTCTCAAAATCCATCCA